ACTCACAACACAAAATGAAATAAGTTGTGACAACAAGAACTTAGAAGGAGAAGTGGAGATGGAACCTGCTTAGACTAAGGGAATAAGAAGCTATCAGAAAATGGACTATCTCATCTATGAGATCTTTTATACAAACCTCACAGTAACCACTGAACAAAAAATCAGAACAGAGACACAAATGACAAATAAAGGGAAAACTGAGAAAACCGTGATAGAGAGCCACCAAACTGAATTGGCAGTCAGAAATACAGAGGATGAGAAACAAGGGAAATACAGAACAACTGAAAAACAAGAGATAAAAGGGCAGCATTAAGCCCTCATATATCCATTGTTGCTCTAAATGTAAATGGATTGAATTCCCTAATCAAAAGACATAGAGTGGCTGGAAGGATTCAAAAATAAGACCCAACAATTTTCTGCCTCCAAGAAACACATCTCAGCTCTAAAGACAAACACAGGCTTAGAGTGAAGGGATGGAAGATGATACTCCAAGCTAATGGCAAACAAAAGAAAGCAACTGTTGCCATACTTATATCAAACAAAGTAGACTTCAAGATAAAAAAGACAATGAGAGACAAAGAGGGGCAGTATATAATGATAAAAGAGACCCTCCACCAAGAGGACATAACACTTATAAACATATATGCACCTAAAACAGGAGCACCAAAGTACATAAAGCAACTATTAACTGACCTAAAAGGAGACATCAACAGCAACACCATAATAGTAGGGGACCTTAACGACCCACTTTCAACAGTGGATAGAGGAACCAGACAGAAACTCAACAAGGAAATAGTGGAACTAAATGAAAAAATAGACCAGATGGACTTAATAAATATATATAGAACACTCCACCCAATAACAGCAGAATACACATTCTTCTCAAGTATGCAAGGAACATTCTCAAAGATAGAACATATGTTGGGAAACAAGGCAAGCTTCAATAAATTTAAGAAGATTAAAATCATATCAAGCATCTTTTCTGACCATAATGCTATGAAACTAGAAATCAATTACAAGAAAAAAGCTGGGAAAGTGATAAATATGTGGAGATTAAATAATATGCTACTGAACAACCAATGGAACAATGAAGAAATTAAAGAAGAAATCAAAAAATATCTGGAGACAAATGAAAATGAAAATACATCATACCAACTCATAAAGGATGCAGCAAAAGCGGACCTAAGGGGGAAATTCAGAGCAATACAGGCCTAACTTAACAAACAAGAAAAATCTCAAATAAGCAATCTTAAGCTACACCTAACAGAACTAGAAAAAGAAGAAAAAACAAAGCCCAAAGTCAGCAGAAGGAGGGAAATAATAAAAATTAGAGCAGAAATAAATGAAATAGAGACCAAAAAAACAGTAGAAAGGATCAATGAAGCAAAGAGCTGGTTCTTTGAGAAGATAAACAAAATTGGCAAACCTTAGCTAGACTTACTAAGAAAAAAAGAGAAAAGGCTCAAATAAATAAAATTAGAAATGAAAGAGGAGAAATTACAACAGAGACCACAGAAATACAAAGGATTATAGGAGAATACTATGAAAAACTATACGCCAACAAATTGGACAATCTAGAAGAAATGGATAAATTCTTAGCCTAATACAACCTCCCAAAACTGAACCAAGAAGAAATACAGAATCGGAATAGACCAATCATAAGTAAAGAGACTTAAACGGTAATCAAAAACCTCCCCAAAAATAAAAGTCCAGGACCAGATGGCTTCTCTGGAGAATTCTACAAAACATTCAAAGAAGACCTAGTACCTATCTTTCTCAAACTATTCCAAAGAAGTGAAGAAGACAGAACACTTCCTAACACATTTTACGAGGCCAACATCACCCTGATCCCAAAGACAGACAAGGACAACACAGAGAAGGAAAATTACAGGCCAATATCACTGATGAACATAGATGCAAAAATTCTCAGCAAAATATTGGCAAGCTGAATAAAGCAATACATTAAAAAGATCATACACCATGATCAAGTGGAATTTATACCAGGGACACAGGGATGGTTCACCATCTGCAAATCAATCAATGTGATACACCACAGTAACAAAATGAGGATAAAAACCACATGATCATCTCAAGAGATGCTGAGAAAGCATTTGACAAGATCCAACATCCATTTATGATAAAAACTCTTAATAAAATGGATATAGAAGGCAAGTACCTCAACATAATAAAGGCTGTATATGACAAACCCACAGCCAACATCATACTCAATAGGGAAAAACTGAAAGCCATCCCTCTGAGAATAGGAACAAGTCAAGGGTGCCCACTCTAACCACTCTCATTCAACATAGTAGTGGAGGTTTTGGCCGGAGCAATTAGGCAAGAAAAAGAAATAAAATGTATCCAAATTGGCAAGGAAGAAGTGAAATTTTCACTGTTTGCACGCAACATGATTTTATATATAGAAAACTCTAAGGAATCCATTGGAAAACTATCAGAAATAATCAATAACTACAGCAAAGTTGTAGGGTACAAAATCAACTTACAAAAATCAGTTGCATTTCTATACTCTAACAAGGAACTAACAGAAAGAGAACTCAAGAATACAATCCCATTTAAAATTGCAATGAAAGAATAAAATATCTAGGAATAAGTTTAACCAAGGAAGTGAAAGACCTATACAATGAAAACTATAAGACATTATTGAAAGAAATTGATGATGACATAAAGAAATGGAAAGATATTCCATGCACATGTATTAGAAGAATAAACATAGTTAAAATATCCATACTACCTAAAGCAATCTACAGATTCACTGCAATCCCAATCAGAATCCCAATGACATTCTTCACAGAAATAGAACAAAGAATCCTAAAATTCTTATGGGTCAACAAAAGACCCCAAATAGCTAAAGCAATCCTGAGAAAACAGAACAAAGCTGGAAGCATCGTAATCCTTAATTTCAAAATATACTACAAAGCTATAGTAATCAAAACAGCATGGTCCTGGTACAAAAACAGACACACAGATCAATGGAACAGAATTGAAAGCGCAGAAATAAAACCACGCATATATGGAAAGCTAATCTTCGATAAAGGAGCTAAGAACATACAATGGAGAAAGGACAATCTCTTCAATAAATGGTGTTGGGAAAACAGGACAGCCACATGCAAAAGAATGAAGGTAGAACATTATCTTTTGCCATACACAAAAATTAACTCAAGAGATTAAAGACTTGAAAGTAAGACGTGAAACCATAAAATTCCTAGAAGAAAATATAGGCAATACACTCTTTGACATCAGTCTTAGAAGGATATTTTCAAATACTATATCTACTCGGACAAGAGAAACAAAAGAAAAAATAGACAAATGGGACTTCGTCAGACTAAAGAGCTTCTGCAAGGCAAAGGAAACCAGGAACAAAATGAAAAGACAACCCACCAACTGGAAGAAAATATTTGCAAATCATATATCTGACAAGGGGTTAATTTCCAAAATATATAAAGAACTCAAACAAGTCAACAACAAAAAACAACCCAATCAAAAAAATGGGCAGAGAATATGAACAGACATTTTTCCAGAGAAGATATATGGATGGCCAACAGGCACATGAAAAGATGTTCAACATCACTAATCATCAGGGAAATGCAAATCAAAACTACAATGAGATATCACCTTATACCCGTTAGAGTGGCTATAATTACCAAGACAAAAAACAAGGGTTGGAGAGGATATGGAGAAAAGCTAACCCTCATACACTGCTGGTGGAAATGCAAACCGGCGCAGCCACTATGGAACAACAGTACGGAGATTTCTCAAAAAATTAAAAATAGAAATACCACATGGCCCAGCTATCCCACTACTGGATATTTATCCAAAGAACTTGAAATCAACAACTCAAAGGGACTTATGCACCCCTATGTTCAATGCAGCATTATTCACTATAGCCAAGACATGGAAGCAACCCAAGTGCCCATTAACTGATGAACGGACAAAGAATATGTGGTATATATATACAATGGAATAGTACTCAGCCATAAAAAAAGACAAAATCATCCCATTTACAACAACATGGATGGAACTTGAGGGTATTATGTCAATCCAGATAAGCCAGACAGAGAAAGACAAACACCATATGACTTCACTCATATGTAGAAGATAAACAAACACATGGACAAAGAGAACAGATTAGTAGTTACCAGAGGGGAAGGAGGCTGGGGGTGGGCATAAGGGGTAAAGGGGCACCTATATATGGTGACTGACAAATAATAATGTACAACTGAAATTTCACAATGTTATAAACTATTATGACTTCATTAAAAAAAAAAACAAAAACGAACATCAGGCTTAGGAGACCTGGTTTATACTTGGCATGTTTGCTTACTAGCTGGGTAATCTGAGCACATCATGTTACCACACTGAAGTTTTTTGGTCTATAATGAAGGCACTTGTCTAGAAATCTTTTCAAGGAAATGATTTTAATCAATTCCAGGAAAGAAGTTGCAAATGAAAAATTTTAAAGTTGTACCCTGCTCCCATTTTGAAAGCATGTGAATTCAGCTATGGGAGCTTCAATAGGGGCAAAAGTATTACTAAAATGTTCAAATTGCCATTCAAATTTAATTTATATTTATTCCTGATTGTAAATGCCATCACACTTAAAGGAGAATTGGGTTTAATCTTTCATTTGCATGGCCAGGGTTCCCTCAATCCCTTGCCACATCTTAAGGCTGCAGCACACACTTGAAGTGGGTCTATGGACCCAGAAAGGTAGCTTGGTATTTCAGCAAAATCATCAGACAGTGGGGCTCTACTCTGCCCTGCTAATCATTGTGCCTCAGTTTCCTCATTCATAAAATGCAGATGAGTTACATCACCTACTCTGTGAGCAGAGCTGCTGTAAAGATTTTTTTTAACTAACATTTGAAATGGTAAGATCTTTGAAATGTTAATTTTTTTTTTTTTTACTATTTTTTAAGCAGTTTATTTGGTATTGATGGTGCAATGCTTATTCATAAAAACAAAAGCAGAAACATACATACCAGGAATCCTATTGAGTGTCACCCAGAAATGTTCGTCAGGACTGTAGGTGTCCTTGGACCAGGAAAGTAAGTCAAGTGCCTGCTGGTCTTGGAGGACAAAGTTAGCGAATTCCCTTGTGAGGGCCACATAGGCGGTGCCAAAGTAAATGGTCATGTTGTGTGGAGGCAGAGTTTTTAAATTTGTTGTTCTAAGCACATAGGAATTGGTTTTGTCTAATAGTTCTCGGTGGACATATTTAGTCCGTCCAATGGCATGAGCTGGGGGCAGCACCCCTGGGGTGATGTTTTTCCCTTTAAATCCTTTCAGATACTGAACTATTTCCTTGTTGGTTTTCAGGGGGAAATCTTGCCCACAGGCGTTGATGGCGTACTTCCATGGAACCTCCGAGGCCGCAAGATCTTTGATGCAGTTCAGGTCAGCCTGGAGCCTGGAAATCCCACCGTAGACAACTGGCTCCATCTTGGAAGTCAGGAAAGCATTGGAGAAGCAGCTCAGGAGTTGCTTCACTGCACCTTTAAATGTATCTGTCGCCTTTTCATCCACATGAACACAGTAGACATTCTGTGGCATGTAAATTGCCCTAAAGAGTCTCTCAAAAGTGCCAAAGTCTTTGTGGATGGTCAGCATGTAAGCCAAAGGGAACCCTGCCTCTTCTTCAGAGAGGGTTTCTGTTATATAGTGACTTTGAGCCACGTACTCATAGCAGGTAGATTCACTGAGGGTAGTTTTCAATGCGTTCTCTGGTGGGTAAAACACCTTCCCCTTAAAAATCTGGTGACAGACTTCTGCTAACAGCGAAGCATTGGACAGAGATGATCTCAGAAACTGTTTCCTCTCCCATAACTCATTATTGTAAATGAATACAAAAATCAGGACAGTGATAAGAGACACACTGAAAAGGCAGTGCTTCCAAGAGCCCATCATTCAAAACCAAGACAAGAGGAAGATTTCTCTTGAGATCTGATCAAAGTGTAGATATCTTTAACTCACATTTCCTCCAGAATCCACAAGCATCCTTTTGGGAGACGCAGTTCCGAGGGGCTGTTCCGTGCCCTTCCAGTCGACAGCTCTTGGTCCTTTTTCTGTCTCCCTTCCCTCCTCATTTACTGCTGTGTTGTACTTCCACGTTTCTTTGACACATTTCTGAAGGTGCTCCTTTAGATTTGCTTGGCTCAGTCTCCCGCTGACCTGCAACCTGTTACTACACAAAAACAAGTTGGCTCAGTGACGTTCTGGTTCCAGTGTGTCCACCTACTCCCACAGTCAAATCACCAAGGACTGAGGTGACCATTCGGCAAGTCACAGCTCCCAAGACTTCAACCCCAGCCTCTTCTGTGTCAGCTCCCCGACTTCCTGTTAATCATTGCATTCAACTGACCCGGTTTGTTTGCTTAAACAGCACTGCCAAGCTAAAAGCTTCAGTTCTAAGCATGTGAACACTGCCTGGAGAGAGATTCTGTCAATAAATATTTAGTGCTTAAAAATAAATCGCTTAACCCTGTCTTTTTCCACACACACCCCCCTCTCCATATTGGCTGAATATGCTATAAAGCAATGCATATGACTGGCTGTTGAGCCAAATTCTCTCCAGGGCTTAATTTTTTCTGCTGCTAGGTAAGGTATTTAAAAATGCACATTAGCAAGCTTACCTCACCACCTAACTTACTACACAAAGTGGGCACTATGATGAATAAAGGATAACAAAAGAAAAAGAAACAAAAAACCAAATGAACTAACAGCTCCTTGTCCCCCCAAAATTGTGCAGAAGCTAAAGCTGAAGTTAGCAAATGTCAAAGTTTATTTCACGCCAGCCCAAGGAGGATACAGGCGCAGCAGCCGGATGCCTGGAGAGGGAGGAGAGAGGAGCTGTCTCAGTTTGGGATGTTCCAGAACTTAATGAGAGAGACTCTGAGATCCAGATTTATAAACCCTTTCAAAGAGTTTCCTTATCTGTAAAAAACGAGAATAATTTTACCACCTTCGTAGGTCAGTGGTGAGAATATAAAATAAGATAACATATATAGAGATCATTGCCACGCCCGGCAACAAATGGGACTGGGAGGGAAGGGTAAACAAGAACCCCTCCCCCTGCACTCACTCTCCAAGAAAATGACCGTTACTGCCTCTCTTTTGAAATCTTCTTGCTCGTCCCTTACTCCTTCCTCCGTGAGCCTGTGCCAATTAGATTATACATCTAAAATAGCACTGATCAGTTTTGCTTTATTTGGTAGTTAGCTACTCATGGGTGTGAAAGTGTGTGCTGTGCATGCCCGTAGAAGGGGTCTTAGGGCTCAGCTCACATGTTCTTCATCTGTTTCTAGCTCCCACCACTGGCTGCACATACTAGACAATCAAATATTTATCAATGGAGTGCTCAAGTTTTCATTTCCTTATTTCCCTGATCACGTTAGTGTGAGATTCCAAATATTCATAATTTGTAATCTATATTTGTAACTGTGGATGTGGATACCTATTTTTTCCCAATACATCTTAATTATAAAGACAACATAATATTACAGATAGTTTGTGAACACAATGTTTTCCATGTGTATGCCCATAGACATACACATTTTGATTTTACCAAGAACAAAGGGGAGATGTGAGTTTGTATCCTCAGTTTTGCACTTAATACCATAGCGTAACATTTTCCATAGTGCTCCTCAGTCTTCACTGGGCATTGTCTTCTCAACCATTACTTTAGAACACAAGACTGAAATTATTATTTGTTGTTGTTTTTAACCACCCCAGATGGTTACCAATCCTGTTTTGTAAGTATCAGGAGCACAGGAAATGATGATAAGAAAAGACCCAAGGAAATTCTCCAGAACTAGGTAAGTCAGTCTTCACTTGTTTTAGGAATCAGATTCTACAGCATGATTCAGGTGCCTACAGTCTTGTCTATATGACCCAAAATAGAATTCAATCAACCCAAATATATATTTACATAATTATCTTTCATGTGTCTGTCCAGAATTCTTTTGAACAAATCATTTCTTCAATACTGTAGTCATATAAGACATATAAGCAATGTTTTCTGAAATGATGACTAAAATTTCTCTAATTTTTATTTTATTTTTTAATATCCCTCTAGGTAGCCACTGTCCACATCAAACGAAATGGACTAGGGATGATTAAATGAGGGTGTCCATACCTAATTATGCTTGTCTAAACTAGCTAAATAATTTTTACAGCTTTTTCTCCTAATATATCCAGATAATTACATCAGCTCTTCCTTTGTTTATTTTAGCTATCACCTCATTCTTGGCACAGTTCTATCTCTCCAGACATTTCATGCATAAAAGCATCTTTAATAATTTGCCTGCTCTTCTCTGAATTTACAGCTCCCTGAATTTACGGTTACAGGGTGAGGAATATATGCAATTTAGTACTTTGCTGCACCTTAATAGTAACCTCACCTGAAATGCTACGAGGGTCTTTTGATTTTGAGCTCTAGAAACATTCACAATTACTTTAAATAGTATCTTTGACAATGCTAGACATTTTTAATAGAATTAGTATTAATTTTTTTTCTCCGTCAACCCAGTGCTCTCTGATGCTTACTGTCTTGGTGGTCCCGTGGGAAACTTGGGAAATGCTGATTCTCTTGACCCTCCTGGCTTTCCCGAGGCCCTTTGGCAACACACCACTAATCATTCTTCTAAATTCTGAGCTCTATGCTCTTGCGTTTGTGCCAAATAATACAATGGGATGGTAATGAGTGACCGAAAAGAACAGCGATTCGTCATCCCAGCTTGAACATTAGCTCAAAGCTAACACCCCAAATTTTAAGTTGGAGGCAGTGATCAGGAAGGATAGAGTTCTGAAGAAATTGGGAACCAGTATAGACTTGTGGCTTGGTCTCTCAGTAAATGGCAGGGTGTATATTTATGTCCCAGAGTTTAATCTATACCAGCTTATTTCTACATAATGTATTCTCTTATAAATTCTCACTCTAGGACATAAAATAATTTTTATTCTGCTAACAAAACTGCAATTGGAGTTTTGTCTCAACAACTGAGTGTAGAAAGGGAGCAGAAGGAAAGGGCATCATTTCTCTGGATGTGGGTGCGCTGTCCATCATCCCCATCTTCCTTATTCTTAGGCCATGTGATGCCCAAAGCACTTTTCACATATTCCTTTCAACGTGACATCGCCTCTGTGCCCAAGTTAGAACCAGGGAAGCAAATGGAAACTTTCTCTGAGTCTACAAAAGCCTGCTGAGGTCACAGAGGAGGAGCAGCTTGGATTATATTGGTTTTAAGTGCACTGGATGTTATGTCACTTTTCACTGTTCCAGCTGTTTCCCTGCCCTGGCTCTCTCCTCTCTCCCTCTTCTTTATTCTTTTATTTATTTATGTATCTACTACAGTATTATTACATTCAGTACTCTGTTTTACCCTCATCAATTTTTTTTATAACCACAGGAAATAGCCTGAAGCAACAGGGCTTAAAATAGCTGAGAAGTGTGGCCAAAAAAAGCCCTGGATTCTGTGTCACAAAGTCTCCAGTTGGACCAAGGCCGCTCTTGACAGCTTGGAGCCCTTGAACAAGTCATTTGATCTTCCACCTTGCAGCTTTCTCTTGGGGAAATGTGAGAAAACAACCCTGCAGTTACTTTGGGGTCTCCAACCTCCACTGTGGCTTCCTTCCTAGCCTGGTCACCCACACCTCCGAGTCTCGGTTTTCCAGTTCCCTGGTGGAGCTGGGAGGATTCCAGAAGTAATATACATAAGCATCCAGCTCAGGGCTGGCCAGAGACATCAGAGCTCATTTCAGACCTTGAGGGAAAGCCATAGGGGAGAAGAGTGCAGGGAGAAAATGGCAAGAGTTGCAGTAGTTTAACATAAAATAACTGGAAATAAGATAGCAGGAAAATGCATGAACAAGCTCCTGCTTGTCAAGCAGTCAACGAAATATCGCTGGGGCAATGCAAACCTGAGGCAAAGAGCTGAAAGATGACAATACCTCAGTACTAGGTAGAGTCTGTGCCCCAAGGTACTTTCCAGCTTCATTCTCATGTGAAAAGATACCTGGCAACCTGCAGCTTTAAATGCCAAGGGCTGAAGGAGGAGTCTGAGCCCAAAGACCTCAGATGTCTTACCAGTCTAACCTCTCCCTGCTCAGAGAGTCCTCGGGTTTGAGTTCCGGCTGGATTTTAGAGGTTGGGTGTCCTGGGGAGAAGGTAGAACAGGGGTCCAATCCCATTGCCAGCTTGGCTTTTTCACCTTTCTAGATTTCTGTTCTTTCCTTCCTCCACTCTGTTCCTCAAAAAGTCCTTAATTTGATTTTGAAGTTACAGGAACTTAAGCTCACTGCTCCCCCAAGCGTTCCAACTCCAAGAGAGACCTTGGGATTCTGTCCACTGACAATGACGTGCAGAAAGAATGTGGTCTCCCTTCTTCCCATTACGATATGCTATTCAATCAGAACAGACTGCAAAGAAACAGATCCCTTAAGCTTAGGGTCCCCAGGCACTGGAATCGCAGTGTCCCCATTTCTTCTCGAAGCCCACAATCTACAAGGAACTCATTGATGCCTCCTCTCTATTTGGCCAATCCACCACTGGATGGGGAACGACCATCTTTACAAGAGACGACTATCAAAGGCCCAAATCGAAAAATAAGGGAAATAGAAAAGTAGCTTTGAGTTTGGCAGAACCTGAATTTACTTAGTAGATGTGTCTTTAATTCTGAAAGATGGACTTTTGTAGAACTGCAAAGCTACCTCATTACTTTTCTAGCTGGTCCAGGGCTTCACTTTCAATTTTACCTATTATCAAACGAAGTTCATATCTCACAGGAATGTCATGGGCAGTGACTAACTAAATAAAGTACCAAGTACTTTATTTTTAAACACCAGATGGTGCCAAGTACTGTAATAAATTCTGGAAACATTTTCCCCTTGCCTGAAGGGAACTGAGGATCATAATGCAAACCATTAAGTTAGAAATGAACATTGTCCTTTAATAAAAAGTTAAAAGTTTTAACTAAGATATATATAGATACTAATGATTTAACAAGACAAATGAAAGCTCATAGTCCCCAATAAGTACACCACATAATGAAACAACATACTAACATGAGCTAGTCTTTGAAAAACCTTTAGAAATAGAAATCTCATGTCCCACGATCAAATGATTCATTGACTCATTCAACAAATATTTTTTGTGTACTTTTACTTTTTGCTAGGCACTGTGCTATATTCTAGAAATATAAAAGACAAATGTAGCCCAAATGAGAACAAGTCTACTGGATCTTAAATAAACTGCTATCAGGGATGAAGTAGAGGTAAAGTTGTAGGAAGATCATCTCCCTCCAATCTCCTCCCTCCAGTAGTTTTCCAGCAAGT